GACTAACGGCAAAGGATGGTGTTGGTATCATAGCACTTATGGAGAAAAGGCTGCCAAATGTAAGGCTCCCTGCAAGTATCAGGAAAACTCCAACGACAGTCAGTAGCGGCGGCAACAGACTGTCCGAACCCGAGCAGCCGCCTGTTTGTTACAGATCAAATAACAAAACGCCAATTTTTAGTCGACTCCGGTTCCGACTTATCTTGTTACCCTCAACGGCTACTACGGGAACGACGCCATGCCACCGATTACGACCTCAGCGCGGCCAACAACAGTACCATAAAAACTTACGGGACGGTCCATCTCAATTTGAATTTAGGACTTCGACGCAGTTTCCCGTGGAGTTTTATTGTCGCCGACGTGAGTACTCCTATCATTGGTTCCGACTTCATGGCATACTACCACTTGCTGCCGGATTGCCGTACCAAACGTCTTATTGATGGTGTCACAGGCTTGGCTGTAAATGGTAAGGTTTCCTGCAGCATAAAATCAGTTGCCAACACTTCCCCTTCTGCACTTCTCGCAGAATTTCCGAACATCACACGTCCCACCGGATTGCCCAGGACAATAAAACATCAAACAGTGCACCACATTCTTACGACACCTGGTCAGCCAATAGCCTGCCGCCCACGCCGCTTAGCTCCAGGTAGACTAAAAATCGCCAAACAGGAATTCGCGGAAATGGTCAAGGCAGGTACCGCTAGACCTTCAAGCAGTCCGTGGTCTTCACCATTACATTTAGCACCGAAAGGGGAGAACAGCTGGCGTCCTTGCGGTGATTACCGCGCGCTGAACGCCCGAACTATACCAGACTCCTATCCAGTCAGACACATACATGATTTCTCGCACAACCTGGCTAATTGCACGCTTTTTTCCACAATCGATCTGGTAAAGGCTTACCATCAAATACCTGTTAATCCGGACGATATATGCAAAACAGCCATTACCACTCCATTCGGACTTTACGAATTTCCTTTTATGACATTCGGATTGCGAAATGCTGGACNTTTATGACATTCAGATTGCGAAATGCTGGACAAACTTTTCAACGCTTCATAGACGAAGTTACCAATGGGTTGGACTTCTGTTATGCATATATTGATGACATTTTGGTATTCTCTAAATCGGAAGAGGACCACAAACAGCATTTACGCACTCTTTTCGGGAGACTTTCTGACTACGGTGTTGTCGTTAACCCGCAAAAATGTGTATTAGGTTCGGCTGAGGTGAAATTTCTAGGTTACCTAGTATCTTCTGAAGGCACCCGCCCGCCACCGGAACGCGTCGACGCCCTACGACAGTATCCATTGCCAAAATCTATGCAAGGATTACGCCGGTTTTTGGGAATGGTAAATTTTTATCGCCGGTTTATTCCCAAAGCTGCCGACCTGCAAGCACCACTTCACGGTATTCTCAAAGGCCCGAAGACAAAAGGTTCCCAACCGATAGAATGGACTCCCGAGGTAGAAAAAGCGTTCACCACATGCAAAGAAAGTCTTGCGACCGCTACTCTTTTAGCACATCCTCATCCAGCCGCACGACTTGGACTATTCACAGACGCATCCAGCCAATCTATCGGCGCATGTCTGCAGCAGCGAGTCAATAACATCTGGCAACCCATAGCATTTTTTTCAAAGAAAATGTCGGTGAAACAAAGTGCGTGGCCTGCGTATTATCGTGAGTTGCTTGCCATCTATGAATCGGTGAAGTATTTCAGGCACATTGTCGAAGCACAACCATGTACCATTTTCACCGATCATAAGCCACTCGTATATGCTTTCACCCAACGGAGAGAAAAGATACCTCCTACGCAACTCAACCAGTTGACATTCATATCCGAATTCACCACCGACATTCAACACATTAGTGTTTATTACTTCTATATATTACACCTCGCTACATATTGATAGTTATAATTAAAAATAAATACTACATGACTGTGATAGCACCTAATAAAAAAATCAATTAGCTACCTGTATTTGTAATTCCTTGTATATTATACATGTAAAATATTTAATTATTTAGTCATCTTTAGAGGTGACTTAATGGTTGGTAGTATATTAACACTTTGGTGATAACACTTAGGTGGGTAAACCGAATCAAGATAATTCGGTATGAGGTGCGCATAATGGACCAACAGGTCTGAGTGCATGGGCATTATGTCCACCTCGATAATAACTAAAACTAAAACTAAAACTAAAACTACATGTATAATATTTAATATTATACATGTATATTAACTCAAAAATTTGAAACATTAAATGTTTCTATCTAATAAACGAATAAAGTTGTAATAAAAATTCAAATGTCATTTATCTATTAAATTAAAAACTTAAACATTTCATTGAATTCAAAATATGTGTTCCCATTAAAAAAAACAAAGTTAACACCCTTACAAGGCATAAGGGATGAATATAAAAAGTATTACATAGTTAATAATTCAAGAATAATGTGTAACTAAAGATGAGTGGGTTATGATAAAAAAAATCACTCTGTATATGCATTGGTAAAATTCTCACACAATTATTTATACAAAAAAAATATTTTACTTGGTCTCTATAAATTTAAATTTGGTAAACCAGAAACTTTGGTACTTTTTTTAAAATAAAACAATAACATATATTATTATCTTGAAATTAAATAATCTAAATGAATACCCAGCACAGTGGTGTTACATACTTCCGCGTTATCATTAAACTAAAAAATAAATTAAGTTGTCATATGATCTTTTATATTACAATTTGTAATATAAGCTTATATTTCTTTGTGCAACATAAAAAAGTATCTTACATTTATAATACACTACATTTGGCGACGAGGATTAATTTAATTTAATTATTAATGATACTAAAGCTTTATATCAAAACAAATAACATGATTTCAGAAAAACACTATGAACATGACTACAAGAAATCCTCTAAATACAAGCAAAATTGGCCAACAGTGTGAGACGTGTTTTTATACACTTTTTGTTCCTAAAGTAGAGGAATGACGTTATTACACTGAAAGGTTTAAAATTAAAATTTAACTTTGTGGTTAATGAGTCTAAGCTGCATTGAATTATATTGCAATCTTTTATTAAATTGTCTGGGTCCACAAACTTACAGACTTGTTTTAAATCATTTTGATCCTACTTCAGCAGTAGAAATCTTCAAGAGATATTGTAAAAGTTCTGCAAACAAATAGGTCTACATCCAGTTATTTGGCTGCTAGACTGAATTTTTGTCTATTTCATAGTAAATTAGATCAAACCATTTTTTAATATTTGAATAATTTACAGTTATTAGCAATACATTGAAAATTTAGAAATACACTAGCAGAATTTTTACAAGATCAATTTTTATTAGATCTGGATAACTCTTAAATACAGGAAGATCTTTTTAGAAACCATCCAGAAAATAATGCCTCTTTATCAGATATCAAAAATCCACTTACACATACTACATTAGATGGACAAGTTCAATGTTTTTGTTGTGGAAAAAAGAAACATTTTAATAAAAGTGAATGTCCAGTAGCAAAATCAAGATGTCGCTCCAATGGTTTGATAGGACATAGGGACAAATTCTGTAATAAGTTAGATGAAGCTTAATTAATAATGAAAAATTTAATAAGTCAAGAAATATTCACAACAATAATATTAATACTTTAGCTGATAAAAATTGTAAAGCATAAGTCAATAGAAATCACCATTACCTAATTAAAGTCATTATTAATAACATTTGAATTTGATACAGAACTGTCATATCTATCATAAGCAAAAACCTATTGTTAAATATTGGTCAGCATCTACCCACATATACTAAAACATTAAATGCATATCCAAATTGTCCAAATTAAATGATGGGCAAATGTAACATAACTGTCATTATAGGTAATAAAACCTTAAAAATACATTTAATAGTTATTTGAGATAATGGAGTTCCACTTTTTGAGCGTGATTGGAAAGAAGCTATTCATTTAATTTAAATATTAGTGTAGAATATGTTTGAAGAAGATTTATGCCAATAACACATCAGATTATCAATTTAATCAATGAAGACGATGCAGATATAAAGAAGATATGGGATGATTATTCTTCACTTTTTAACAAGTAAACAACAATCATTAAAAAATGATTGATCAACCATGGGATTGACATAAAGCTAAAATTCGAAAAAATGTTAATACTGTACCTAAACTATTTAGAGCAAGATTTGTCCCATTTATTATAACTTCAGCTGTTGACAGAGAGATTCAACGTTTATTATATAAAAAAATTATTGAATCTGTAGACCCTTCAATATATAACATTCAATGGACTTCGCCTGTAGTTAATGTACTGAAGAAAAATGGTCATGTAAGATTATGTACTGATTTAAAAGTTACAATAAATCTTCATATGCATGAAGACCCACATTCAATACATACATTTGAAAAAATTGTGGCAAAACTATCAGATTACACAGTTTGGTGGGATTGATTTGTAAGGAGCTTTTTTACAACTTGAAGTAGATGAGGAAAATTATTGCTAAACATAAAAGAAATTTTGCTTATAAAATATTTCCTTTTGGTGTCAAAGTTTTATCTATTAGATTTCAAAAAATAATGTACACTATTCTACAAGAAATTTAAGGTGTATCTTGACTTCAAGATAATATTGCAGTTGGAGGTCGAACTGGAACAGATCACATCAGGAAGGGGCTGCCCTATGTAAGAAAAATGTTCTAACTACCAATGGTATATGATAAATAACAATTTTAATTTTACAATTGAATTTATAATTAACTAGCGAGTCAGAATAATTAAACTTTCTTATCTTTTTTTTTTTGATAAATCCATACTTATAATTTTAATATATGTTAACCATAGAGTTAGCAAAATATGCAACTATATTATAATTTTTTATAATTTCAATGTAAAAATTAAAAACATATTATTAATATGTAATTAGTAAATCCTTATTAATATCTCGATTAAGATAAAGTATGTCGAATGAAAAAGGGNACATAACTTGTAATCAACATAGTTAAAAAAATAGGAGATGATGTTGCTTTTGGAATAATCTAACAATTATTTCTAAAAATTAAACATTATTTACAGATTTACATCAAAACATTTTTTATGATTGTGATTTTAAACATTGTTAGTTATTATCTATATTTGTTTCAACTTTGAAACGCCTATACTGTGCTGTGTATCACAGTGTTAGTTTCTTTTTAATAATAAAATAAATCAAATTTAAATAATCATATAAAGTAATCTACTTATGAAGTGTTAATAATATTTTTAAATATAGTGTCAAAAATTAACCATTTTACATAGTAAGAGGGTGTGATAATGTAAATTACTACATTTAATAGTAAAAAAAAAAATTTGTTTTTATTTAACATTTGAAAGATACTTATAAATTTAATTATAAAAATAAATTTTTTTCAATAAACTTCATATTTAGTATAAATATTAAATTTTACTCGGTACATTTTTGTGAAAAAATCATAATTTGATGAAAAAATGAGGGGTAAAATTCTTAATTAATCATGTTTTATATATACCAAGTTCATAAAAAATGTTTTATTTTGTATAATCATACTGTTACTGTTTGTCTTTTTTCTAAGCATTTCAAAATATTTTCAAGTTCAAATAAATGTTTATCATTGGCATCTGGAGCTTTTTTTCTCATTGCATCAGCAAGTTTATAGACATATTCAGAATTTAAACCACTTACTCCTTGGCACAACATTATCCTTGAAGCTATTTGATAAATAGTTGCTTTACCTGCAAACCATTTATTTTTTTCATCAGCAACATATACAATTACTTCTTTAGGAGCTACATCCTCCTTTATTTTTGAGTAAAACGGCACAATATATTTCATATATCCTGCTTGTTCTCGAAAATCTAATTTTTCATAGACTTCTTTAATATTTTGATTACTTATGGCATAAGCTACTCCCCATACTTGACTCTAAATAAAAAATCAAAGTATTTATAATGATTTATTATAAAATAAAGCACTAATTTAAAATTCAACATGAAATTTTAATATACCAACCTCATTACGAGATGGTAAAAGGGTTACCACTCTTCCGGGCTAAAATAGTCATGAATTGTCATTAGTTACAATTTAATCAATATATCTAGTGATTTTTGAACTACATACAAACTCGATAGTGCCTCTGTGATCAGGACTATATTGATAAAAACGTCTTTTGTAACCTTTTATATATCCAACACACTCTTTGACGAATTTAAAGTTAGTTTTCCATAAAATTGATCCATACCCAAATAGCCAAACAGTATTATCTGTATTTTCAAACACAGATTCATCAATCACAGCCTCAGTATTTAAAGAATTTTTAATTTTTGTCATAGTCATTCAATATTTGAAAAATTAAATAAATGGATTAACGTGACATTACAATTATGATAACATTGATATTCGGATTTGATCAATTATTCAATAAATATATTAATAAAATTTTTATAGATTAATTACATTGTTACTTTAGTTTTTGTTGTTATCAAACAAAAAAGTAAATACTATTATTATTTATTTAAGGTCGATTCACTTCGATCAAAGATTTTTAAAATTTAATTATCTGTGGTAATTATCAGTACCATAGAAAAGTGATAAACATAATCAACAACTTATCAGGTCAACGTAATATCACATTTAAACGCACTTAACCATAGACATTAATTAGGTTCATATATTAACAGATCAAATTTCATTTTTGAATAGTTACTTTTATAATACTAATGCAGATTCAATAAAGTTTAAATATAGTTGATCATAAATCGTGTTTATGATTAACAAATTAAACGTTAAAACTATTTAAAATTCAATTTTTTCCATTAGTGTAACTTATTTATAAAATTAAAAAATGTTAAATTTATTGTATTCATAATATTTTTCTTATATTGATAAATGTTGACAGTGAAATTTAGTTTTGGCGGTAGGTAATAATTTATGAATACTAGTTTGGAAATACTATATGTTAAATTTTTGACTAATTTTATGAGTGATATATAGTAATTATAATATTATTTTATACTTAATAGATAATTTCAACTTTATTAGTTTAGTATTTGTATTTTAAGAGCTAAACTAAGATTATCTAATAAAATATCTCCAAGTGTAATTTGTAAAGATTGTGAGAGATTTAGTCCTTTACTAGAAATAATGTTTGAAACTAGAACTCATGAAAAATTCCTTTACTCTATCTCTTTGACCCATTCCAAAAAAAGCAACATTGTGTAAGCTATTAAAATGTAAGTTAATTTTATACCCTCTTAAAATTCTAATAGACTAATGTGGAAAGTAAAATGAATTTTAAAAAAAAACTGTATCCCTCCTTCTCGTAGTTCACACAATAAACAGTTGAATACATTGTATTCAATTTAGGTTAGTTCAGAGAGAAAATAGTACAAATATTAATAATAATTTATTTTATTAATTATTTTAACTTAAAAAAATTGTTTGTTGTAATTATATCTAAATATATAAAATAATTAAATATAACTGATTAAAAAAGATTTTACTCTATAATTATTTTAGAGTAAAATTTTAGTAGGTAAATCAAGAAATATAATATACTTATATTATGAAATTTGTAAGAAAATTTTGAATCTTTTAAAATTTTTATTTAAATGAATTTTCTACTTTTGAATTTATCAGCTGATATCTTATAAATTTTATTTTAAATATAAAGATCAATAATTATTGTTTTTTATGATGTGATAAATATATTTTATAATAGTCATACTATATTTTTATTAGAAAAAAAATATTAAACAAAATTCCTACTTTTTAATTTATACTTTTTCTTTGTAGAGTGAATGTTACTTAAATTTTTTTTATTTTTATGTAAGTCTACTAATAGATAAATCTTTATATTTAAAAAGATAATGAATTATTAAATTAGATTGTATAGGTTTGAGTTCATAGGTAAGTCTCACTTACTTCTATAACATCTTAAACTAGGTAATTTACTTTCATTTGGTATAACAATTTTCATATGTGACCCTTTAAGTACCCATAAAGAGATATTATAAATATCAACTTTTGCATAAAAATTTAAAACTTTTTCAACTTAAATGTTGAAAATTTTATTTTGATGTAAAAAAATCTCCATTATTTGTGTTCTTATTATTTTTTATTTCAATTTTTTTTTAAATATGAACCCAAACAATATTTGTGTTTATATTTTAGGTTAAGTGGTATAGTTATATAAAATGTTTGAGGAGTGAAAAATTCATAATTCCTGCTTTACGAAAAAATATTAAGAAATTTATTTATTTGTTAGTTTTAATATCTAGCAGTAATTTATATTATTCAAAATTTAAAGAAAGGGGGCTACTCTTTTCAAAAATAATGTTCTAGCTATCAATGGCTTATGATAAATTAAGGTATTGAAATATAGAATGTTTCTTTTAACAGCCATTCTTATCGAACGAAATTGAGGATTATATTTTAATTTTTGGTGCTGATATTTTCAAGTAGATTAAATTCAGAGTCTTATTATAAACAGAATCGGTCCAGTGAAAGCTAAGATTTTTCATGAACACACAAAAAAATAAATTATGATAAAATAATACCTTCCAAGCTTTGCATCGAAACAAAAATTATTGAAAGATATCTTAATCTTATTGTTTATAATTAAGAATTATAAAAAAATATTATCGAACTTATAAATTTAATATGTCATAATGAAAATTGATCACTTGTGGGTAATTAATTAAGTAAAACTAAAACTATATTAAAAATATCATTAATTTAAAAACTAAAAAATATTAAACTCAAAAACCACAAAAAATTACATAAAAGTTGCGGATACGTATTTCGGAAACAATGTTATCATTATCAACACATATTAGTATATGTTATCCGCAACTTTTCAGTTTTTTTTTGTGGCTTTTGAGTTTAATATTTTTAATTTTTAAATTAATAAAATATATTTAATATAGTTTTAATTTTACTTAATTAATATGTCATATGCATTTAATTTTTGACATATTTATGAAGTATTTAGGGAAATTAAAATAAAAATTATTGTTAAAATTAATAAAAAAAAAACAATACATTACAAATAATGAATTCTTTAACGAAAAAGAGCCTACATGTTATTATAATGCACCTACTTATTAACCACCTTTTGAGCTGTAGAAAATGTGTTATGTGGTTAAAATAAATTAGTCAGTTTATCGATAATATGTATGAAAATATATAAGTGTAGCTAATAATTTTTTTTCTTCCATTTAAGTGTTTAAATTCAAATATATTAATTGACTGATGCTGTCATAGAAAATATAAATTATGTATTCTCCATAAAATTTTAAAATTTGTGTAATCTATACATAAACATATTATTAAGCTGAATACCGTGAAAAATGATTAAAGTTAAAGGTCATTATTACGACCGCCTAGCCTCTAAAGGGTTAATTTATTTACTTACTTAATTGTTATAGAAGTGGGTAAGAACTGTCCATGCACTCAGACTTATAAGTCTATTGTATCCATTATGTAGTTACTTAAAATTTTTATGTTTCAATTATTCCTATGTTGATGTTTTATGTAAATAAACTTTAAAGTCATTTTATACAGTTGAATTTACAAATGGATCAATTCGCAGTTGTTCAACTTCATAGAAACAAGCATTTCATAAAAAGTTGTTGTGCTGTCATAAATTCTGAATGGCCTCGTAGTGAAAGTGCAAGGTATGTAATATGTAATGTAACAAAAATGTCCCTTCTCATTGTTTTGTATATTTATGTATTTATGTTGTAATATTTGTTTCCGGTTGAGCCAAATAAAGGGTCGATCTGGCTTAGTGAGTAGAATGTATGTTTCGGCGCACGGAGTCTCAGGTTCATTACCCAAGGTGCCAAAGAGATTTTTTTTGTGGTTTTCTTGTTGGTGGTTTCTAGCCTCTGGTTCAAGCATACCATAATTCCCATCCCATTCATCATTGGTCTAACCAAGAACCATCATTGACTCCCTAACACGCGAAAGACCTTTTATAACATGTTAAGTTCGGGAAATAAAAGGATGTAAAATAATTGATTATTTGTTTATTTTGGTTGAGCCGTGCTACGAGACGGCGATTATCATCTACATGAGGTGAGAGGTGTTATGATTTATTTGTGCGCGTGCAAGATAATCAGCTAAGTACTACTTTGAACCGCTTCATGAACGGTATTATAGTACACTCACACCGCTCCTGTTCTATCTTAAACGCATTTGCACAGCTCACCACCTGCATTGTCATTTAGTGATAAATATTAGTCTTTCTCCGTAACTTTCGGCATTAGGTTTAATTAAATTTGTTTACCCCTTCCTCTAAAGGCTAGCCGAAGTGTCGCCAACGGACCGCCGAGTAAGTTGTAGTGATTTTCAAAAGTAAATCAATTTTTATTATGTATAACTATATATATTTTAACAAAAATACATTAATGTGATGATAGCTAATAGAATTATCATTTAGATAGCACTTTTGAACCCTGAAAAAATCTGGTAAAATATACCTTTAATAACAATACAAATTTATTTTAAATAAGAAATTGTTTAATAATCACAAACAAAATCATACAGCAAACGAACTGAATGCGGTAGTAATGCTGATTTTGTGGGTACACAGTCGTCGTTATCAGGTCGAGCGGAAGCTGCTCTCTCTTTTTTTGAACGTTCCATAAAAAGTCGAAAATTGCAAGCTTGAGAAAACGAAGAGCAAAACTTGTGTTTTAATTTTTATTAAAAAAATATCGACTGAATCGAATTAAAAACAAATTGATTCAACAATAAAACCGCCTAGTCAGAATCGATTTTAAAATGGATAAATCAATCGAAAAAAATTGAATTAAATAACCTAACTCACTGAATCACTAACACATTTACGACAAGTAAATTAGCCATCGTCTGTACTGGTATGATAATTTTCGTCTGTAGCGAAAATTTTTTTTTTGTGTGTGCGTTGTAACATTGTGTTTTTTTTAACACGCTTTTATTAGTTTCACGTGTATGTTTGTTGTTTGTTGTTTGTTGTTTGTTGTTTGTTGTTTGTAAGTTTGTAACTCTCCAAACGCCACGCGTTATCGCATATTCCGTTGTCTAGACTAGACTGTTATACGCATTCACCCCTCCCCACGCCTCGCTCACAATACGACGGTACACTATTCCTATAAAAATTTATTTTTAGTTATCGTACCCGTACACGCGTGCTTGTCATCAATATTATATATATGTAAACAAATTTTTATTTTGACTGACCAATAACGCCCGCGTCTAATGCGCCTTACGTATATATATATATATTCCTACCGCCGTTTATACCTCGGGTATAACGTTAGTCCGACCCGCCCGGCCATAAAACACAGCTATACTTAGTGCATGATACTTTTACGTAGTTAAGTCGCATTATTTGTATAAATATATATATTCTAATTACTATTAAAATTAATATATTAACACGATTTATTCTAATTAAGAGATATAAAGTATTCATTCCGATTACGAGGGATGATTTCCGTATCGTCATTTTTCGTCACTACCTCCACGTTCCGGGAGTGAGTAATTTACGCGCCTGCTGCTTTCCTTGGATGTGGTAGCCGTTTCTCAGACTCCCTCCCCAGAATCGAACCCTGATTTCCCGTTACCCGTAACAACCATGATATTGATAGTAACTACTATCATAACATGAAACTAAAAAGTAATAAATAAATATAGTTTAAAAAACTAAAAAAACACGCTTTTAAAGTACATCGAACTAAAAAGTTAAAAATAATTTTTAAAATAATTATGAACAAAAAATACTAGTATTATTGTGATAAAAGCGTGGGTGCTTTGTGCCATATTTTTCGTATATTGAGCGCCCGACGCTTTTATCACAATAATACTAGTATTTTTTGTTCATAATTATTTTAAAAATTATTTTTAACTTTTTAGTTCGATGTACTTTAAAAGCGTGTTTTTTTAGTTTTTTAAACTATATTTATTGTGATATTTTTCGTGAGTATTCGCTAAAGTTATCATGAATTTTTTTTTTGTATTTTTGCAGCGTCGGCTGAACTTGCTCCCTATTTTTTAGTAACGTTTTGACTTAAATTTTTTTTGTTGTATGCTGTGTCATATGCACGTGTGGCGAAATTTTTTTTTAATGGATCTTTCAACATGGCAAGTATGACCAATACCATCTGTCATGTTTATGTATATTTGTGATAATTTAGGATTGTAGGTCCTAACGTTAGCAGACGTGTTTAAATACCATTGCCTCGTTTCAATTTTTTTTTTTTTTTTTTGCTTTATTATGTATACTATAGTTTATTGGTGCTGTATATTGTTATGACAATGTGGTAATATAGTTCATTTTATTCCGGTGTATCCCAACGGTTTGCAAGCTAAGTCTAACTGTTTAAAACCAGTCGTTTATTTTGGGAGTATACCCGCCGTGCTTTAGCGATAATGCCGTATGTAGTGAATACCTGAAGACATTCATCGTATTCTCTAATTATAAAAGTGCTGGTGTAATTATTTTTTAGTAAAGTTTCATATTTTTTTCCGTTTTCTCTCTTTAATTTATAGATGAGGTTTATTTAGCGTTTGTTTCTTTGTCATGTATTTTGTGTTTCTTTTTCTTCAAAAATCGTCATCTTTAGCTTATAAGGTACGAGCAACGGCTTTGTCTATCCTATATAATTATGGTTATGTGATAGTTTGTTCAGGGATTTTTGGTGCACATCTACTTATCAATAGCTCAACAGACATCAGTCATAGCTTCAATTAATTATAAGTTTAAAATTATTTCTGTATTTAATATTATTATGGTATGGTCAATTATAAAAAGCATTTTCTTTTCTTAAGTGTTTAGAAGTAGTAACTTAAATTAGTTATGTCCTTAGAATTGAAAACATAGTTTTCATTCTTATTGTTTTTCAAGAAATATTAAATTAAATTCGATTTTCTATTATTTTTAAAATCATACTGTAGTCCGATAATTCATGTCCCGCATAATAGGTTGGCGAATATAGTTTATTTATGCTTTTAGTGCCATGAAATTACAAAAATTATCTGTTGTAATCAAATAATTCGACTTTTTATTATATTTGTAACCTTTCAAATGCCAAAATTAATTTATATTAAGTTATTGTTAAAAGTCTTATTTGTATTCATAGACTTCATAGCTTAGAAGCATCATGCGATACATTACCAACATCACTTATTTTGACAAAAAAAACCGAAGACATTGAACAAGCAGTTGTTGTAGGACATTCTAAAGTGACTCCTATACCATCCATGCCAGAAAGCTGTTTTGTGGAGAGCGGTAAAAATAATATTATTTTTTTCATTGATTTAAGAAAAAATAATAATTTTTTTTTGAAATTAAAATTATTTCAACATTTTTTGACTCTGACAAAAATTTTTAAGGTAGAAATTTGGTATAATTAAAATTTCTCAATTTGGTATCTTATTATGAGTTTATAGTGATGATTTATTAAATAGGTGTACATCACTAAAACTTAAAAAAAAATATTTGTCATAAAATCTCAATAAAAAGTTAATGCATTATTTTTAATGGCATAAATAAATAAAAAGTGTGGTTATAAAATTCCACTCACAGAAAATAGTAAATCTATGCTGAAATATTAAAAAAGGTATATACTAAGGTGACGCAAAAAAGATTATGAAAATATTAACAGGCCACCCATTAATTTTGTTACTATATGTACATAAAAACTAAAATCTTAGTTAATATTTGAGGTTAAAAATACTTTTTTTACTAGTTGCTCAATGCATTTTAAGTAAATTAGCCAATAATACTCAAAAAACAAGAAAAATGACTTAAATTATTCAATTTTTAGTCATATATCATAATTGGTACATCTAAATTGTAATAGTTATCGTGTTAACTCGGTGATAGGCATTAACTTGTTAAAAAGTTAATTTTTTTTAACTTTTAATAAAAAAAAAGTCGAATTTTTCCTTATACCGAATATTACATTACATTTATGTAACAGAAAATATAATTTTCTTTTTTGAATTTTTTACAAAAAAATGTATGTAATTTTTAACTGATTTTTTTCAATAACTAGTTTTAAAGATAATACAGTACACCAACACCAAAATGTTCAAAACGAATAAAAAAAAATTTTTGTTTTCATAAATATTTTCATTCCATTCAAAATGGATTCTTAGTTTTCCCTTGTATTATCGACCAATACAAATTTTTAAGAGATTTTAACAGAAAAATTAATTCTAAATAAAATGAACTTTTTTTAAACTAGTTAAGTTTAAAAAAATGTCATCTTATTTTTTAACTTAGCTATTTAAATTTACAATTTGGTAAGTATTTACTGTTAACGATGATACTCATAAATAACTTGAGTTAATTGTTTATATTAATTTTCCCATCCTTGGTTAAATTTATTAAACTTGGGTAAACTGGCAAATTGTGATAATCGACTAGGTGATAACAGAACTAAGTAATCACGTAGTAAGCACTAACAACAGTAGATATATAATAAATTATTGCCATAACCCCCAAAACGGCCCAGGTCGTTTCTTCTCCTTGGTAGACGTGCGGTGTTTACGGTCGGGTGGTATGGCGAAACGTCAATATTGCTCGTTCTTAGATAGTGCTTTGTGAAAATATTTAAACTCCGAAATAGAAAGCCATACGGGAGAAGAATATTGCGTAATTAACGAATTAATAATCGATACCATTAATGAGTATTTTTTCGTATATAAGATGGGATATTGTTTGAGTAAAATTAATAGTGCTGTGTCAGTTAAGCGCATTAAAAATGTTTGACAAGCGTGAAAAAGTATATGTCGCCAAAAACTGTTTGATGAGACACAGAAAAATCCATGATGGTATACGATTTAATTGTTATTTATGTCCACCTACGTTTTTAGACAAATGCGGACTTGTACATCATGTTCAAAAGATACACCATAAGTATTACTATTTATCATATAATTAGATAGTAATATTAAAAGAGAAAATATATTAGAAGAGTGTTAATAGAAGTATATTATTATAGATTTCGTAAAGTATGGTGTGAACTATAATATCATTATAAGAAATCATGCTGATTCGAGGGCTATGTCAACTAGTGGTAAGTACAGAAAATATCTTATTAGAAATTTGTATGCTAAAAGACATTATTGAAATTTTTTTATAGAAAATGTAGATGTTGCAGAGACAATGCAGGCGGACCCCAGTGCAATTAGTCCTAAACGTTGCAAACAATGTAACACTGACAATACGATTAAATGTAAATGGCTAAAGGCAAGACGACTACAAGACATTTCGCCGTGTGGTCTTAAAACAGGTGGTTCATTCAATAGTCAAATGTAGCCGGGTATCAATCGTTTTTGTCGGCAACAAGAGACGATTTAGTTGAAAAATTACGCAACTGCCTTAAAGAAATGAGACCGATAAAATTCAATCTTAAACTCAAGGCGACTTACACGATTCCAAATAATGAAACGTAGTACGGAAATCGGTCATTAAAACGTCGGCAGTCGAGTTAATTAATGAAGATGATATTGATCATGCTGTGGATATGTCATATGCAAAATTATAAGAAGAACACGAAAACTACGTTGGTAAATGTAGTATTTGCTCGTTTTCTGACATAGACGGTATTTGACTGGGTGTTTACAAATACCAACCTTCAACGCTCAGAATGTCAACAATGCTTTAAATGGGCTGTTTTAGCAAGAAAAGTGACTGGCGATAAATATATTTCTGCGGTTCATTATTCTTAACATCAATTTTAGACATAAAAATGTTTGAGAAAAATTCGCATCAGTTAATGTTTTTGGACTAAAATTGAAAAATACACATAATAAACTCGAATATTTAGTTTATCCCTTGAAATTGTGTGCTGAAGAACGTAAAGACTATATCGATTTGTTAGTTTTGTCAAACACTTCGTGTGACATTCATTACACTTATATCATGATTTTGGACGATTGATATAATTACAAATATCAAAGAGTACGGAAAAACTTATGTTTTGTAAATGGTGTTTGATGGGTTTTTATAATATACCTAAAAAGTATAAACGCTTCAAGTGACCACAGGTGCTAGTGGAACATAAAAAAAAAGTGTCGAAAACAAACTGTCTTTACCTGTAATGCCTGTAAAGGGGACTAAATTAAAGTTTGAGTCATAAGGCAAACACACAGGACGCATTCAGTTGCAATTTCTACTGATTTCGAAAGATTGTCATTTCAAGTCCAACAAAGATATGAAAGGCAAGTCAAATGATCATGATGCAATGAACTATGAACTTTTAACATAGTAAAAGCAGTCGATAGTGTACTCACCGAATTATTGCATCAGTTTAATATTAAAACGACGTCTAAAATACATAGAGGTAATAAAAGCAGTGAGTCGGAGGAAGTAGTCAATCGTTTCATGGATAACCTAATTGAAGTTGCGTTAAAAATTGAAGAGTTGCTCATAACGAACATTAATATTTGTATGAAGATCATATAAAGAAAACCTGCTGTGACTTGTGTAAAGGTAGTTTTACAGAGAAAAATCATAAAGTAGCAGACCATGATCATTTGACAGGTAAATCATAACACATAACTATGTTAAATATATTGTAATTAATATAAAACCTGCGAAGGCAACCTTTGTGCAACTGTAATACTTATGGTGTATCTTTTGAACATGATGTACAAGTCCTCATTTGTCTAAAAATGTAGATGGACATAAATGACAATTAAATCGTATATCATCCTGGATATTGATATGTTTCATCAAACAGTTTTTGGCGACATACACTTTTTCACACTTATCACAAGAAAACATTTATTATTCCGTGTTATATACGAAAAAATACTCATTAATTGTATTGATTATTAATTCGTTAATTAAAAAAAAAAAGAGTTTGTGGTTAGGTTTAATCAAGAAGATTTTAATACGGTCAAAAAGCCTCACCTGCAAATTTAAATGACAAATAGAGATAAAAATATAAGACATTACTAAAAAAAATTATTAGACCTACAACTATTTACATTTAGAGAATACGATGAACGTCTTTAGGTACCCACCGGCCATCAAGTACAGAATTACCATTAAAGCATGGCGGGTATACACATCAAGTAAGCGACAAACTTAGTTTGCAAGACAATGGAATTCCTCCAAATAAACTGGGAAATTCACTATGTCATCCCATTGTCATAATATGGTATATCACCAATATAAATATATGTAACAAAGCTACAAAAAAATTAAAATAAATGAAACGAGGTGAGTATTTGAAATCCTCCGACATGTTTAGAGACCTAAAAAATTTACATATCAACTCGCCACACGTGCTTATAATATGGCGCATTTTAAAACAAAACACTTGGCTCAGAACATTAAAAAAAGTACACAATACGTTACTAGCATGGAAGGTCTAAGTGCTACTCTTTTTGTTACGTTACAACATTAATTAATACTCTTTTTTTGTGTACATGTAGAACAAAATTAAGAGGCGGCACATTAAAATTTTTCTTTGAGCTATTGTGCGCCATTTTAGTGTATATCACTTACAATGACGATAACTAAAACTGTTTTTTCAAAGCTAAGAATAGTGTAATAATATTATTTGAGAAAATAGCATATAAATTTTTTTAAAAACAAAATTTTTTATTGAATACTCTGTTTTGTATAATATTAACTACCATATAAAAAAATGATAATTTGACATAATCTTAGAGTAATAATTTAAGAGACTTAAAATATTAATTAAAAATATACATAATTATAGATACATAATTAAAAACATTAAAATATTTAAGTTTTCTTTTTCAACAGTTTTCTACTTTTAACCATGTTTGGAAATTTCGCACTTTTAAATATTATCATTTTTAATCTATTTATTTTCACTTCTTAAAAAAGATGATACAAATAACCCAAATTACAGAGAAATATTGTATTTTTTTAAATGGATTGGTTTTTTGAATACATACAAGGAAACTCAACATATTTTTAGTTATACTAAACGATGGTAAATCTTGTAGTAGCAGGGCCGATTTTTTAGGTGTTGTATGAGGTGTTACGCCCCCAAATATTTATTAAAGCCATTCATGTGGATATTTATATTTTATTTTTTTATAAATGAACATTCGTAAGGTTTTATATATAAAATTTACTTCAATAAAACAGCGTTTTGAACTTAGATAACATTTATCTGTCATATTTTTTTTATTAGTGATTCTCTGTAAGAAGATTCTTTGTAATTTTTAAAGCTTATCAATTATTCCAGCGTAATTTAAAATATTTTTTATTTTTTTAGTATATTTTGTGAACTTTTCTTACTTATTAAGGTAATTTAGCTGGAAAATTTATCAGAAATTGCTTGTAAAACTTACACCCCTCAATAAAACTATTTCTAAGATCATCTCTGGTGTTAGACTAAAGTATTGTAACCAAATCAAATTATTATAACTTAGTATAAGGAACATATTATGAATATACAAGTTTAAGTTCATGTGTAGCTCTTGCTCACATATTTGACAGTGTTTAGTGGTATTTAGATACGATAACTATATAAAAAATACTGAACATTTATCTTATCTTGTTAATTAAGGAAACGAATATCTAAATCTTAAATTGATTGTGTATATTTTTTAGTAATTTGAGTATATACTCATTTAGATGAATTAAGTCAAGTAAATATTCGAATATCGTCTAGAAAAAATCATTTCCCTCTCAAATTTCTACTAACATATAGACCCTTAAGTATGGTTAAATCACTCGTTCAAATATCTGTGTAATGGTGTTGATGGTACTTTAAAGTCTGTAAGACGATGGTAGTTCGAGGCAAATTTTTTTCTGGACAATATCCGAATATTTACTTAGCTTACTGTAGATGAATAAAATATTTCTCGTTTTTATTTTCGTATTTTTAATTTTATCGGTTGACATATTGTTTTATTTGCATCAAACAGTGTTATACTTTTAGGGTATTTCTGATAGTGACAATCAACCAGCTCACTATGTTTGATACGGCAGCATATTATTTTTAAAGGCACGGAATTAAAAGTTAAAACCAATGACAATCACTTGTTATGAGTTAAATTTCTTACTGCCCTTCTTGTGTGTATGTTTTATTTTAAAAAGAGAATATCCCATAATAATTATTTTATTTTTTTTACAAATCAAAACGATTTTATTTGTTAGATTTAGAATTTATTCATTAAATAAAATTTCATTTGATCATAGTGATTTTAAAATTATGTTTAAAGATTTTAACATGTAGACTTATTTACTGGTTTATTGGTGTAAAATTAAACTTGAATTATGTACATTAGATATAAATACATGAATAATTATCAATTAGGTGTAAAATATTTATTTATTGATCATTAAATGATTTTTGAAAAAATGACAAATTAAAAATAAATTATTATATTGTAGTGTAAAGTTTTTACCATATATTTTATTATTGGTTCGCAGTTGTTATAAAACACGAACACCGTAGAAAAGGACTTGGAAAATTTCTAATGTTAAAAACTGAAGAATTTATTAAAACGTAATTTATATTAGAAAGGTTTTTTTTTTACGTATAAATTTTGACTTTTCTTATTATAGTTTAGGAATACATACAGTGTATTTGTCAACTTTAGATAAGCAAGAATTTTATTCAAAACTAGGATACATACAATGTCTACCAATAAATATTTATGGAAATTTTTCGAAAATGCATTCTAGTCTTACAATGAATTTCCCTTCAAGAAAAGTTTATATGAAAAAAATATTATTGTGAACAAATTATGATTTAATTTTGTTAAATTTTTTAATTTACAAATTTATAAATTTAATAAACATCTATTGCACAATATGATATATCGTAATACTAACAGTAATAAATCCTTAATAATAATAATGATAATAATAATAATAATAATAATAATACAAATTTAACTTTATGTGTTATGTACAAATAACTATAAATACCTACACATTGTATAAAAATTAATTGAGCCAACACATATTATTTTTAAAAGACTTCATGTTAAAATTAGATTAAATATTGTACAAAGTTGGCACATTATATATGGGGGTTAAAAAACAATATATGTACTTATTTAAATTTTAGCAAACTAATTAGCATCTCTATAAGTTATTCTAATATTTATTAACCTATAGACGATATTTAAGTAGTATTTATTTAATATGGCTACTTTTAATTTTTCAAATTATTGAAAAATATATTTAAATAATATGAACATTTTTCGGACATAACCTATGTATTTAATATATACAATTTATATAGATAATTGTCATTATATAAAATATTTAACTAAATTATTTTAATATATTTCAGTATTAATCGTGTTAAACGAGTAAAATTAATGTATTATTGTTTTTTTTTTACTCATTTTTAGTTAACTTAAATTTTTTTTTCCACCGATGACAATAACAAATTCAATGTAATGTACTATTAAAATATATTTAATTTAATCTAAAATCTTGCATTTTTTAAAATGTTAATTTTCTAAATGACTTTTAAATTTACTAACATACTTGTATGTATATATATATATATACGAGAAGATTGATATATCATTGATCACTGTATTTTTCTTCAAAGTAATAGTTTTGAAAATGTTTTTATTTCGTTATTAGTTTTTATTTCTAGATTTTTAGTGATTAAATATTTTTTAAGCCTATCTTTGATACCTTTTAAGAATAACATATATTTTAATATATTTTTTAAAATTTATCTTACATATTTAACAGTTCATATAATACAAATGATTCCATTAAAAACATTATCGGTTGATAACAACTATTAAATCAGTATTTTGATAGTTATTTTTGAATGTAGATCCAAACGCGACCTAGACTATTACAGAGGTGTTGGGTATGTTATTTTTGCCATAATATATTACTCTGCTGCGTTACTCCTCACACCCAGGTATAAAAATATTCATATACTCTTTAATTACTAGTTGAAAAGTTGTTCTTTTATCGACGAGTCTTTTCTTATTGGGGTCATTTTATATTATAGAAACTAGTTAAATATTTATATTACATAGATAAGGAATAGACCTAAAAAGTATTCAATCTCTCTAAAATGTTTATTTTAGAAAAAATCTAGTGGTTAACGATATATCAATCGCTCTCTCTCTCTCTCTATATATATATATATATATATATGTGTGTGAGAATGTTACTTTTATCTTTTTTATTGGTTAATAAGTATTTAGAATACAATTTCATTGAATGTTATGTGTTATTTTCATTTTAAAGTTTAAAAGCTTTAATTTCTAAATAATTAATGTAATAATAAAATAAAATTAATAACAATAAAATATAATATAACTAAACTAAGCCTAGAGTATAATGTGTAAAAGTTGTTTAACTACTATCTCCAGTGGTGTGCCTAAGATAGGTTACTATTATTACCAGGTTACTGATAAAAAAATTAAATCAATATCTCACTAACAAATAATAAACTATTAAATATATACACGAAATAAACACAAAAATAATTTTAATGTATAATTACTAAAAAATGTCGGTAAAAGATTAAAATTATAATACAATTAGCTAGTAGTTGCGATTTTTTACATTATATTCTGGATATAGTTTAGTTTTATATTATTTTATTATTATTAATAAATAAGTTATTTATAAATTTAAAAATTATGAGGACATTATTAATTATTTAATTTCTAATTAATTACTCATTTACAATAATAATTATTATGGATATAAAGATATAATTTATAGCAAGAGCTCAATGATAATGTCGAGATATTTGTTTTAATTTTTTTGCTTGCTATTTTTTATTATAATAAAATAATTTTTTAAGAATAATCTTTGGTTATAAGTAGACTTAATTAATAAAGACTTTTTAAGTTTAAATTAACAAAATATAACCTTTGGTGAAAATCTATTAAGACAATTCATAGTATATTTACCGAGTTAAAATTCATCAAATAAACATTGCACAATAACAAGCTAATAAAAATAATAATTAATTTATTGATCCACGACAGTAATACAGTCTCAAAAAATTTAGCTTAAATAAAATAGTCGTTGATTTTCCTAAATTATTTTTATATTTTACAATTTTTCATTTCAGATTTATGACTGATAGTTATTTTATATCATGGTACAATTAACTTGTTATGAAGGCGCAGAATACCAATTGTGTGGATTTTTTAATGGATCTACATAAACAGATGGAGGAGGGGGTGGACCGCCATTTGCTGTTTTACTAGGTGAATGGTACAAATGGAACCCAGCAGCAGAGTGATAAAACTGAGCTGACTGATCATAGTGATCGAGAACAGGCGCTGGATTGTATGGTTGAGGTTTAAGGGGAAGAGTTGATGACGTAACTTCTGCGTGATGGCCATATTGTTGTCGGAGCACATCTGCTGTTGAACCGTAAGCTTCATAAACATTTAGAGACTGTTGTTTTTCACGTGGTGAGACAGAAGATGGAGGAGTCATAGCAGAATGATAGTCACTAAAATTATATGGTGGTGGTATAAGTCCGTTAAAGTCACCTCCGCTCGGTTTTTGTGACATGTATTGTTGTTGGTCACTGTAACCGCCTTCACTGCCTGGTGGAGTTGGTAATGTGCTAATATCACCGGGATAGTAAATCGCTGTTCCAGTGTTACTGTTTGGCGATCTGGGAGCGTGCACGTTAGCTCTGATGACAGACTCGCGATTAGCATAAATCTGTCGAAGCAGTGCAGATGCTGGCAAAGTACCATGATGTTGATTGTGAGATGAGTGATGAGATTGCCCGTTTGCATGTTGAGCGTGATGTTGGTGGCTAAGGTGATGGGCGCCAATCCATTGGATTGTGGTTTTTTGTTGTTGTTTAAGTAACGTATCCGTGCTAAAGTCTGTGGGTTGACTGACGGCCGATGACATTTTCTCAGTTGTAGACGGTAAATGTTTGGACATGGCGTGTTCTAGATCTTTAACTGTACTTGGATCATTACCATTGTTACGTTTTTCACTCCCAATAGTTTTTGGGGGACTTGGTGGAATCGTAGATTGACACGATGACGACGCTGGACTTAGGCTAGAAAAATGTTTTCTGTTTGACGGTTCTTCTTCCGAACTACTACAACAACTGTTATCGTCTTCTCGGGATAAGATCTCATTAATTTTTCTTTTGTGCGCCCTTCGCTTTTCTAGTTTTTTTGATTGTAGTCCAATTACACTGTTACTTAACTGTAAAAAATAAAAGATATAGTATTTTTTTTCGTAAAACGTAACTCGTTACTAGATTACATTTTTATACTAATATTGTATTATGTGTTTTATACAGTGTCTAAAACAACGTGTACGAACCGCTATTGGAATATTCTGATGCTATTCTATACTTTATTGATACATTTTATTTATGATCAAAGTTGGATATTTTTAGGTAATTACCAAAATTAGAGTGGTTCCGGTTCTATTTTGTGTTGGAGTATTTTAACCTGAAGTATTCATGCGTTACATAAAAATTATAGAAAATGTGGAGAGTAGAATTTTTTATTTTAAATACGTGTCTCGTTGATAACTCCCCCCAAAAAGATGCATCTCATTTACTAGTTTATTACAAATAAATTTATTTATACTGAAAAACTGCTAAATTTACCTGTAAACGTTCACTTGCTGTGTTATTTAATTGGGTAATGTCTACATGATTTCTCCCTCGCGTGGGATCACCATGGCCATCAGTCGAAGGCCCATCATCTAAATCAGCAGGCGTTAAATGATCTCTTCTGGTATTGCCACCTCGACCATCTATGCAAAATTTATTGTAGGTTAAATATATTTGAATTCATATTTTTAAATAATTATCGTTAAAAAATGATGTAGTTAAAAACAAAAAGTATATATTAAAAAAAACCTGTTTTAGTTGTAATAGTGTAATGTAGAAATATAACACGAATATTATAAAAGTATAATAATAACAATTGTTTATATACAACTATTACTATGTTAAAAAAATAAGATAAAATCAGAATAATTCTAGCGGTATTTGCAAGTGAGACAAATATTTTTAGCTGAAAAATGTATTATATTTTAAACTATTTTTTAGAATGATTTCTTATCTAAATTAATCAATCAAAACTTAATTGTTTTGATTACTAAGTATTTTATTTTTTTCAGACTAGTACCGCTGAACAACTATTATATTTGTAACATATTTTAAACAAGTTTTATTTTTTAAAAGAGCACATCTAGCCTTAGCATTACAAAATATCGGATAAGTATTATCTTACTCGCATTTTGAATAACACTTACCACCACCATCACCGCCAGGCGAACCATTTTCCGGGTCGTTGCCACCGGTTTCCTCTCTCTTTACTACTCTTTGCCTGATATGTTCTTCCATTTGGCAACAGTCCATTATCAAATTATCATACTCGCGAGCACTGTAAAAATAATTTTTATTAAAATTCTGGATGAGTGTTCATTAAATAAATTCAATCTAAAAAAAAGTTTTTTGTCTATAATATTTTTTTTTACTATTACAAAGGGAACATACGTAGCAATTACACATTAAGTTTAACTTGGTATTCAAATTATTTTACCTGACAACGTAGTTTACACAGATAATATTTTGTTCTTCGGCATTTTTTGAATTACATACTACTGTACCACAAGTTTGCATCCATGTGTATCCGCCATTTTTGTTCATAACTCTGTAGTAATGTGTCATCATTTGTCCTTTATTTATTACTACAAAACAAATACGGTATAAAAAAAAAATGAAAATTTTCTAATAAAATCTTTATTTAATTGCTGGAAGCAGTTACTATTATAAGTATACATCGAATTATATGGGGCGTTCAGTAAGTAAGAAAATGGGTTTCTATTGTCCTTATTGTTTGTAACAATAGATCTGTTTCATTATTTTTTGAACACTCGTATATTGATTTTTATCAAAATTTTATGAATGCTTCAATATTGTATATTTAGATATATGTTTGATTAAAAGCGTATATAATGGAGGAGTTTGAAGGGCTCAACTTCCCTAAATACGAAAAATGTATACATATTTATAATTGTACAAATTATATAAAAATATACGGAGTAAGGTCTATGTAACTTAATCCCCATACCCATATAAAATCTATATTAATGCCTCTGTAACATAGGAAACTTTGTTTAAAAGTATACATATATAAATGTAAGTACATAAAAAATGTTTGGAACATAGAAAATAGTTATCATAAGCTTTATTTTCTTTTAGCAGTTTTACTCAATTTATAAAAAGTTATCTAAATTGAGTAATATTAATTATTACCACAAAGAGTTTGCAATATTTCAAAATTTCCATAAAGCACATCGTTTGATTTGGAGCGTAATTAATGAAAAATATAAAACCTACGAAATTGGATTTTAATGATTAAAGATTATTGAGTAATTAAGTATAGTATATACATATACAAGTTTTCATAAATATTAATAGTATTTTAGATAATTTTTATCGTTTAATATGTTACACTTTACAAAATTTTCAGCGATAAAAAGTTCCTGAAAACGTATATGCAATTTTTTAGTATTTTTCGTGGTTCTTTTTGTGTCAAATATTTATTAGTTTAAAATGATATTTTTAGTTTATTAATTATCTTATCCTTCTCCAGCTACCCTAGTTCCGTATTTACTATTATAAATGTGGTTATTTATAAAAATATTCGTGAAATACTATTTTCCGTTTTCGACAGTGAGCCTGGATTAGTATTCAGCGTGTTTGATGTACTTCTTGACAGGAGCAGTAATGTATTGTGTGTTTTTATGATGCAACAGTATTATTTTTTTATTGGCCATCGTTAAACCATTAGGTTTCTCTTTTGTTTTCTACGCTCGCGGTAGTATCTAGGCGGTCATAATAATAATAATAAAAAAACAATAATGGTGTAAATCTACTGCAGCGATCCCTGCCGTAAGAATTGTGAGACGGCGCAAACATTAGGCACATCGTATAGCACAACCGTCTTATTGCACATGATCGTTGAATATTCCGGACAGGTATCTCACCGGAAGCTCCGCCCTCCCGTCTTCCTTCGTTTCACGTCATGTTCATAAATATACACCAACGAAAGTCACTGATGGTTTTTTGTGACAACAGAAGTAAGTAGTAAAATAAAAAAAACAAAAACCGTGTTAGTGTCCTGAATGCTAATAACCTTCCGGTCGTCATTCAATTATACAACGATAAAATAATCATAATTTACAAATAAATATACGAATATCTTAGCCGCCATTTATTGTCGTACGATTAGAGAATATATCATAACAACTTAAACCTCACCCGTTCCTTTGAAATACTATCTACTCGGCAAAATCATTTGGGATACAATGTTTATATCATAAGAAAAATACTTACAGTCTAGATGACATTTTCTGAGTTTGCTCACGTCTTCGCCATGACAAAGGGTGTACAAGTTCATGCCGGTCAGTTCATCCGCCGTATAATCTAATACTTCCGCTACCCTGCAAGTAATAATAAAAGTAGCCTGTAGATGTGTTTAACAAGCCGTGCAATTCTAATGCGTCTAAAATGCATTGGCCCGACTTAATACAATAATTATTATACGTGTAGGTATTTTATTTGTAGAATATCGCCAATTATCGATAATTTATCATAATTTTTTTATTTTTACCAGTCGAATTATTGATAATTATAAATTTTACCCATATTATACTTGCTTATTATAAAAGTAATAATGTAGACATTGGTATGTTTATATAAGTATTTTTATTCCTACCAGTTAACTTTTAGTCTTACGGGTCATTCTTTATAAATAGCAGTAGTGTTTTTGCTAAGTCTTATCAAAGGTGTAAGGAGGAACAAGAATTTACAGAATTAATTTCCCTAAAATCAAGTAAAGTTTTATGTATTTTAAATAAAACTTAGGAAGGAGGGGTTAAATAAATTATGTACTCGCAGAAAGCTTTTGCTACTCTACGCTTGTAACATTTAAAAGAGCACTTAATCACAGTGACTGGTTGTGATAGACTCGTAGAGTAATGAGTTCAGTTAATGGTAGGGGCTGAGATGTTGGCACATTATTAACTATGTTATTTATAGATGTTTGATTTCGAAATTTTTTATTTTGTTTTTTTTTTAAATTAATTAGTAAGAGTATCCATATACATTTTTTCTTGCGTTTTTATTCTACTATTGGCCGAAAAAACGTATTAATTTAACTTTACATATAAATCTTATGATACTAATAGCTGTACTACAATCGAGTAAAATTTTACCTAGGTTCGCAATGAGCAATTCGGAGATCAAAGTACAGTCTGGTAACAAACATGTCAGTTTCTAAACGGATTTCATGTACGCTCGGTGGTGGCAAAGCAATTGCCAGTGATACAGCTCCTAACAAAGGTGGAGCACACTTTCGATTGTGAGAAAATGTGTACTGTGGCCTAAGCCTGCATACCAATAGAACCACCTGAAAATAAAAAGTAAAAAACACATATAATACACTATCATGAACTATATCAATAAAAATATATGTATTTATTTATATTAAAAGAGGGGACGGTGTGACCGAGTCGGTAACGCGGAGGTGCCAGATGCGCTCTGTCTCGGGTTCGAGACTCTGTCAGGTTCCGTTTGCTGAACGAGTCATCAGTTTAGTGATCGGAATTGTCATTCCTCTCTTTGGCGATGGGCTAACCAACTATCATTGAGTATACAGTGTTAAGAAACTTTTCTTGGGAGGCCGCTCAGTGAGCCGTATAAAGCGATTAAAAAATTTATATACATATATGTGTAAAAATGTATATTTATTAATTTTAATTGTAATCTTATTACTATATTAATTAAAATGTTTAATATTATACATTTTTATAACTAAAGTGGTGCGTGAAAATTCATTGCATCGGTAAATGGTTTGTATGGTACTTTGGAAAAAGTGTGTAGGAATTTATAATTAATTAGACTTTATAAGTTAAGTTAAAATTTAAAAGTTTGGCGGAGATATTTAGATTCTACGTTAACTTATTTTTTCTTTTGATTATTTAGCGACAAATTATTGTACATTTTCAATATTTTTTGTTAAATACCTTTTTAAAAATAAAATTCCAAATACGATAAATAACAATTTTTTCATTAATTGTTTGACCAACATTGAAAAATTATTATGGCATGTCGTTAACGATATGACCATTGTCTGTAGCCGAAAATTCGTATCTTGATTTTTCGAAATTATTCAAGAAGAAGAAATGATTACACTATTTTTGTATAAATAACCATGAAAATAGGGTTTTCAAATTACATTATTTCAAGTCATAATAGAAATTATTTATTTCAAAAATTTATAATATGTGTCGCATTGTAAATATGTATTTTTCCAAAAAAAAAATCTCAAACTATAGAGACATGTGGTTTTGCTATGGAGACGACTCTATGACTTGATTTTTATTAGTTTAAATTAAAATAATTACATTTTTGGAAAATAAAATAACATAAAATTATGTATGTCATACATTTTTTTATGTTTAAAAATCTTACCAATGTACTGTCCTATAAAAAAATGTGTGCAAGGTAAAATTTTTGTTATCCTATATTTTTACAAAACTATTAGAATTTTCTCTGAATTAACTCGTTAAGTTAATGGGATTTTGTCAATTTAAATTTTAACTTAAGTTATTAAAATAAAATAACCGATATATTTTAACTCGTTAACTTTTTTCAATGGATTTGATTTTAACGAATTAAAAACAATCATTAACTTTCCCAGCCTTGAGTACAACGAAGGATTAATTATCATTTATTCAAACATAGTTAAATCTATAAACAATAACTATAATTCATACAATTTTTAATATCTGCTTGTGTTATAAAAATGATTATTTTGGTAGATTAAATTAATTATTGTTTTACAGTTTTGCGTTAAAAACTATATTAATATGCGATGAACGGAAAATCTAATATAGAATAAGCCTTACTTTATATTTATTAATATGATATAATTAAAAAGCATGGACACATTTGTGATTCAAATGTTCTATATATTTACTAGTAGGTAGCTTAAGAACTCACTTGTGAATACATTAAATACACACAAATAAATAAAATGATACAGAAAATATAATGCTGTGTGAGACATCTCCACGCATCGATGCGTCTGTGGCGACTAATCGTTCAGTTAGGTAAAAATGGTTGTAATTTTTTTATACTTTGGTTGTAACTGACCGATAGTTGGCTATTGAGTGATGTGGCACGTATTCGAATATTTTTAGTGTTTATATTTCACTTTCACTCTACTTATTATTATTAGTTTTTAGTTCACACAGGAGAAAAATGTTAACGAGTTATACAAAAAAATGAGACAAATATTGTTTTTATTTTTTATTAGTATATTATTAGTTTAATGAGATTATTTAACGTAGATCAATAACCGTCGGATGACGCACTGTTTGCGGTTATTTAAACATAGCAATCACTCAGTCATGATGAACCCTTTCGATTTCAAATTGAGAATTACACTTTCACCCCATAAATACGAACCAGATTAGTAGCAGTGTTAGCAGAGAAAACGCTAGAAAAACTGGCGATTTCCATCCCTCGACGTAAAACTTTATTGTATTTCTACACAGATACTTACCCTGTATCCGGATGATTTGAAGTGGCAACCACGTTTCGTTAGTGTAGATTTCATTCTAATGCAAAATGCTCTGTCCAAACCTTTATAAGCATTTGAACTTGACAACGACATTACCGATGACACTAAAAGTGGAAAATAATATTAATGTTCGGCTGGTTTTTACTGTATCTATGTAATTAAGTAATAAATGAAACATTCAATATTAGGAATAACACGAATAAGTTTTATCGGCAGATCAATATAAATATTTGGGAACTACTTCACGTTAAGATATGGAAATGATGAAATGACAGTATTCCGTTTATGGTTTTGGTAGTATTTCGATATTTTTATGCGTGTCCGAGTGGCCAAGTCACGATCGTCTGCGGCTAAATCAATGATCCGTGATTTCCTATACGCTGGAGAACTCATTGAGTATTTCGTTGAAGTAAAAATAACATGTGACAGACCATTGATGGCCAGTGTACAGAAGCAATGTTTTTTAACGTTAAAATGAAATATCTTCATTCGACGGTGTGGATAATAACGACGATATAATTAACAGCAGTATTTTAATCCTTGTTCTAGTTAAAACTTATAAATCGTACTGCAATATTATAATTTTTTTTTTTTTTATACAAAACGGGGTTTATTTTTTAGTTTTTAACAAAAGTTTCTTGTACGATTTCAATGGAAAAAACCGACACGCGCTGTTAAAAGTGGCGTTGCACTTATAAAAAGGAATAGACTGATTCTCATCTCGAAACCATTTTTTCTTGGGTTTTTTACTTTTTATTTTAGACATAAATCGGATTGAATTTCGGTGTTCTGTACACCGTGACGAGGCAATAAAAATCACCTAGGGTGAGTGTCGTGTAGCTAATCACGTGAAACGCACCACAACCATTCCACCGCAACGGCGGCGTCGCTAAAGGGCTGTAGGATTTTTTACTTACCATCGGGGTTGGCTGTGCCCACATTAGAGTTTCCTTCTTCGGAACCAGCACTGCTCGGTGACGGCGAAGCCATTCCTTGGCCTTGGGTTAATCCGAGGCCTAGTTGTTCGGCCAATTCGGAATGATCTGCCTGATGTATGTAGTCGAACACGCTGCTTCCGGTCATTTCAACCTATGAACACATTGGACATTCGATTTCAATTGAACCGTTACATTTCAAAAACAAATGGACACACGCAGTGAAACAATTAAACTCTATTGGGACCCGGCAAAAGCAAACTAGAGAAAATCTCCATTTGCATCGTCCATCATTGTTACACCTCTCTTTCCCGTCACGTTCGTCTACACTGTACACAGGGAGCTCTAGTAGTGCAAGTTGTAATCCACCATCCCGCCGTAAAGGAAGGCTGTACAAGAGAGCTGTACGGGTTTTTAAGGCCAAGCGGACGGGAATCGCTCGAATTCGGCTCACGTACACTTGAGCCGTGCGAGCGTGTTCCTCATTCGTAATTCCGGACGCAGTACTTGCCTGCCGTCATTGCCACTGACACAATCAATAGCTATGCTCTTGCAAAGGCCAACACGGGGGAACCTGGGGTTTTTGTGCTTTTTGGTGTAACGACTTCAACGAAATAACCAATGAAATGATATTCGGAATCGACTCGACGTACAGTTTTTGTAGAAATAATTTTTATCTATGAAGTTTTTAAGAAAAACGTTTATCTGAAGTGACACGACTAGTTGAAACTACACTCATGATAATTTTTACATTGAAAATGTTGATATAAAATTATTATTTTACGCGTTGCTAAAATATATGCGTTATAAATTCAGGAAATGTTGTGCGCCTTTGGTTAAAACAAAAATTCAAATCGCCAAACAAAACTAGATTTGAAAAACACATAAACGTATTTTTTAAATTTAGTTTCATAGCAATCTCTCCTTTTTCATTATATTTTACCTGAAGCCTGGCCGGAAATAATGTGCTGTGTAACGATTTCTGGATTTTTATTTTACGGAATATTTCTGTACAAAACACATTATGCTGACGATATAGTTTTGAAATAGAAAGAATGATTCTATCACACATAATAATGAACATGAAACTCATACATGGTTCAATTAATTACAGACATTTGTTAGTTTTTCATGGTTTTTATTTTTTATTTTATTTATTTATTTATTATTTTTTCATCGAAGTTATACAATTTATGAGTTGTTGCATAGAAAGTTATTCTCGCCCAGACTTCATTTATAATTTTTTTATGAAAAATCATTTATTTTTATTTCATTTAAATTAGGAGAGAAAAGCAATAGAGATAACTTTTAGTACTGATCATAAATGTTTCATTTAATGCCTATATTTATTAATATATGGAATTTTTTTCGCTATTAAACATAATCGCACATAAAATATATAAAAAATTATTTTACCTAATTTTTACTTAAATTTAAATGAAATATTTTAGCTATGTATTTCGTTAAATACTAACCTGTGAAAGACCGAGGTAGATTGACACGGTTTCTGATATGTATAAGAATCGACCATCAGCAGCTAACGCAAATGCAAAACCGTCTAAGGACTAAAAACACATTTTAGATTATACTAATATACAGAGTTGTCGATTAACGATAAGAAACTCATTTTATCTAAAACTATTGAATATTTTCAATTTATGTAATGGACTATATTATTTTATTCAAAAAAATCTATAATAATATGTAGTTAAATAAATTTTTTCCATCCTTTCGAGGATATAAAACTTATACTCAAATTTTCTTTAATGGCAACCTCTATTTTTAACTAAATGATATGATAGAAAAAATAATTTTTAAACAATTTTGTTTTTGAACGAAGGAAGATATGACGATTATTTTATATTAAATATTAAATTAATATCAGAACATTGTTGAAAAATCGCTTAAAACTCTAACGAGCAATAACTAAAGAATGGTTTATCGAATAAAAGTCATTATAAGAACAACATTTTTTCCATTATATCATTAAACTAAATTTAGAGATTTCCATTAAAGGAAATTTAAATATTTTATCTTCAAGAGAATAGAAACAAATTGTTTAACTATATATTATTGTAGAATTGTTTGAACTAAACAATATTTTCCATTGCAAAAATTGAAAACAATTTAAAGTTTCTATGAAAATGAATGTCTTATTCTTAATCGATCAGCCTATATATAAATAAATGTTATTAAGATTCCAATATAAAAAAAATTCTAAAATGTATAATTTAATTTAAGAATTAATGAATGTTTCTTTATTTTATCTCATTCTAATGTAATCCAATTAAGAAAATGGCTGATAAGTTACATTTGAAAGTTTTTGATTATTTTAAAGAAAGACAGTTTAATAATCTATTAAAAAAATGTTTAAAGAAAAAATCGTATGCTCAAAAAATGCTTTATAATCAAAAAAATATATTAAAGAAATCTGAACATTTTCTAAATTACAGTATTTATATATACTAAAATATTATTGATGTAAAATTAAGGAAAATACATATCAGTGATTGTGTTATCATTTCTGTTTAGTTAGGTTACTTACTTGAAGTATGTGAGTACCCTGATGTTGTTCAAATAGTTCCATGGCTATAGTACTAGGAGATCTATTACGACCAGAAGTTCCTAAAACAAAATAAACTTTTTGTTCAAAATTGTCCTGTAGCTGTGCAAACTGTTTACTTAAGCTCACAAATATATACTTTCATTAAATGCGTGCGAAATCATATAGTTTCCCTTATGATGACATCCCCTCGTAAAATATAAATACATTTCAGTTTAATCAAAAAAAGTCTGAGTCCTAATCCACAGACCAAGTAAACATTTCCGCCCTACCAAGTTGACAGACACCACATCACACAGCCAAACTCCCTGACTTTCATTTAGTTTACTGTTTACTTCAAACAAATACAATATATAAATATATTGACTTGCAAATATAAAATAATAAAATTATTACTAGTTATTAACAGTAATATATTTATTCTATTACACTCTATGATGTTACAAATATCATATTAAAATTATAAATATAATATATTCATTTAAGTACTAAATTAATAGTTATATAAATAAAGTAATTCATTGTTTTAAAACGTCTATTTTTATATTTTACGAAAGAATAACTGATATTAGTTTAGGAGAATTAAATGAAGTATTGCCTAAACGTCATACTAGAGAATAGTCGCCCCTTGAGACAGCTACCACACATGTGTTCGGGGTGTCAACAATTATTTATTGTCTTTTTATCCGAGGGGAAAATTTTCAACTTGTGGAATACTCATATATTGTAAATATGACGTACATAATGCGAAATTAGTTTTCTGTAAACTGTAAACAAATACTTTTTGTATAATTTCGAAAATATTTTCGCAAATATTTAATGTTATTGATTTGGATAATTTTTTCAAAAATTCATTGTCTTGAATAGAAATATACTACTGTAATTGAATGTAAAATAAATTTTTGAGCAGATCTTATACTTTAGTTTTCACATGCTGTTTAATTTTTCTATTTGCGAGTTTCTTGATCTTTTGATGTAAACCGAACTGGTCATTTTTTAATCGCAGTCTAAGCAGAAATTTACCGTCTTCATTTATTATTCTCATAATATGTAAATTTATCTTTTTTCTTCGTAGTTTCCGTACATTAGATTATTATAATATTTTCAAGAATAAATTTCATTATTTTTGTATTTACTGTTACATTATAAAAGAGAATACACGTACAAATGTAATCTTATTTATGAGTAGGAAGAACGAGTACCTTTTGTTATCCAAATTAACTTAAAATAGTAGTTTGTATGTATGTGTGCTTAACAAATCTGGATCCCCTATTTTGCGGGTGACTGATTGAAACCGCAGAAATATATAAAGAATGAGATGTGAAGGGAATATGTTTTAACTTCACCCCTCTTTCCTTTTTAACTAGGTTAACTCATGAAGCAATCAGTTGGGTTTCGTTTAAAACTCTCCCCTAGTTTAAATTTCCTCCTCTTATTTGAAACCATAACAAGACCACGGGCGGCAACGGTATTAATTTGCTTTAAATGAGTGTCAGGATTTGTTTGATGAAAATATTACATTATGATTACTATTATTTGTATAATTTTATTCGTTGTAATTGAGACACTGTCAACATGAAGTAGTTATTATGCGCATTTCAATATTTTCACTCTTAAAGACTTTAGTAGAAATGTACGCATTTAAAAGCTGCTTGTTCTTCTGTCCTGTATAAGTCCAATCTTTGTTTCTTATCTTATAATTTTTTTTTATTTACATTTAATGATTAACAGCTAATAATTACTTTTTAGAATCATCTATTATAACTAATGCGTGTCAACTTAATTATTTTAAATGGCAACATACATATTTAACAAGCTTATAAAATAGAAAATAATCTAATTAGAAAAAGGACTGGTGGTTAACATCTTTCAGACCAATATTTCGGAAGTTATTAACAATTTAAAGTAATTACTGGAGGTAAAGAGATGATGCTGCTATTTTTATAACTAAACATTTCATGGCCGTAATCTTCCTCTCATCTAAATATTTATATGTCAATAACTTCCGAAATACTGGTCCAAAAGTTGTTATCGACCATTCATTTTTTTAATTAGAATAATATTTATTTAATAAGCCATTTACTAATGGGTGATATCATTTGAGAGAAATTAAAGTTGACACTCTTATGAGGTATAAGAGGTGAACATAAAAAATACCTTATAATTGAAAAACATTGAGCTAAAAGAAACAAATAAAAAATGTATTAATATTATTTTTATTTTTCGATTAATTAATTGGTTCATGATAAGTGAAATAATCACTCTGTATAGTGATGTTAATAATTTTTAGATAATTTGTTAGGAAGATGAGATAAACTGATCGAGTTGAGTAAATTGTTATTTAATAATTCTTTCCCTCCCCTATATAATTGGAACCATATAAATTAAAAGTTATGTTAGTATTCTTTGAGTTTATAATTACGTTTTAATGTCAAAATTATAACATGTAACTATTCGAATGGCTGAAGAAGATAAAACAGAATTTACCTTTATTGTTGTTGATGTTTATGTACAGTAATAATTTATGTCTTCAATGTTTCGCTTAAATAAGTGATGTAATCAAAATAATTGCCACAACGGTAATCATAAAAAATATATTGATCGGATGATTGGGCGTGGAGAGAAGATGAGTCCTCTAGTCTATTGGAGACAATAGTTAGTGCTTGCGACAGTCTCGTGCTGACAACCGTGAAAGAAATTGTCATTTTTATCGAAGCACGAGTCATGAATTACTATCTATTTTTTGTAGTTTTCTTTTAAGCTGTTTTTATCATTCATTTACATTCTATACCCTTATTAAACACTATTGTGTGTGGCCTCAATCGTCGACCAGAAAAGTCTTGAATGTTTCATAGATTTTCTCGTGACCTCCAAAGTAATAAGAAAAAACTGTTTAATATTAGAAGAATAGTAAGAAAAGTGAATTATTTTCAGTTTCCAATCCACATGATTAGTTTAGTTTTGACGATTATTATGAGATGTTTATAATCATTGTTAAAAATATCCTCTAATAATTGCAATAACAATCTAAAGTCTACTGTAAAAAATTGCATTTTCAAAATTTTTATCTGCATTATAAAACTGTTATAAACTTTTTTTAAAAACACTAATCCTAATGAATTTTTAATTTGTGGGTACCCTAAGAATAATTACCTTTCTTTTAATATACTTCTTATGAAAATCCAATTAAAAAGTATAAGAAGGGTTTGAAAGAAAACATTCACACGTGTACACAACAATTTTTTAACAGTGTTTTAGAACGACTGTGTTTTTCAAACTTACATCAAACTAAAGTTTTTGATGTTTATTGCAGTGTATATTTATTCTACCATAAAAAATCGACTGTTATAGTAAAAAAATTCGCAATTATAATAAATAGAAAACTTCATTCGAAATTAAGCAAATTATTTAACAAGCGTTTAATGTTTGAGTGAAATGTCTATACTTGTCCTAACATTTTTGCGTATTCACTATACAGTCTCCCCATTGAGTTGCGACCCTACTTTTCAGTTTTTTTAAATAGATATAGTTTTCAAATCACCTATTTTATTTATTATTAAAATAAAATTGATATTTTTTATTGAAAGTTATTAATTTTTATATTTTCGTAGGGTTCAATAATTACTGATTTACTCGTTTATATTACTTGTACATAAGTAACTATTTTGTTTATTGGGTAGTATAGTATTAAAAGTTATCAAAGTAGAAAATTTTTTCAATAGACAATATTAAGAATAATAATTTACTTTTTGGAGAAATAAAAATTATTCTGGCCCGGGAAATCAAAATCTTAGATATGGACCTGACAGTGGATTAATCTGTTAATCCACTAAGCCATAACTGGTTTTTATTTCAATTATCAATAAGATATAATGATTTAAATGAAAAAAATAATTCTCCGGAGGGAAAACTGATAAAATATACCGATTTTGTAGATTTTAAAAATCTTAGTTTTATCAGGTTAGGTTTTCAGATCGCACTAGTTTAGTACTCGAGGTACGCGAATGATAAATTGTAATAACAATTTAGATTAAACCGTGTTAATTTGAATAAAATTGTATTATCTTCGAAATTTATCTGAAATGCGGGAGATTAACAATCTTAAATTATTCGTAGAATTATACAGCAAAGAATACATCTCGTTACGGTCATTTATTCGACACACGGCATATGACAATCGCTTATTATTATTTTTTATTCTTCGTGGGTCCGCCTCTTTCCACCTCCTCGGTGCAGTCCATTAAGTGTGCACCTCTTACGAATGCAAATTTAAAGCGACAAAGTGTTCGTTTATAATGTAAGCAAATTTTATTGTGTGTACGAAACGTGTAGTGTACGCAGAGTACGTCGGGTGGATCGTTAATCTAATAACACTACTGTCGCTGTCAACCGAATCGACCACCCTCTTTTATGTATAACATTTATATATATATATGTGTACGTATGTATTAACCGAGTCGACGACAGTGTTTAGCTAGTTAGAACCTTATTGTGCGTGGGTTACGTTTATTATCATTATTACTGAGCACCAATTTATCTAAGTTTTCTCATTGATTTGCCTTGTGCCAATGGAAAATAAATGATTTGAAAATAATGACACGCAAAATCAACTCTAACGCGGCACTAGGCAAAACAATATAATATGACGTCTGATGCTAATTAGGCTTTTATATATTTTTCTTTAGTGGGCTCATATGACAATATTATGTTTTAACAAAAGTAATCGCGAACAGTTTTTATATTTGGATATTTGTAATTTTAAAAAATAACTTAAAATATAGCTTATGAATTGATTAATGCCATTCATATTCGTATATTATTCATACACTGATTTACGGTTAGTTAATGTAGTCTAATCCCAAAGGACGAGAATGGTGACGAGTAATTCGATAAATGTTAGCGGTAAAATACAAATTAATTTATCTGACCACTCGTCGAGTGTTACTTAATTTACTTTAAGCAAAAATAAACGTGCTTTACTATTTTAAAGACATTGCATGACTCATACATGATTTATACAATTATTTAACTACGGTTAAACAATTATTCATTCCATTTTTATTATAAGGTAATTTTACCTTTATACTACTTGTTTAGTAATTCGGAAGTTATTCTTATTTGTTTACGTAGACGGGAAGAAGAGTACGACCGGCAAATGATTAGTGATAAAAATAGCAGCACCTCTCCTCACCTCCAGTAATAACTTTAATAACTTCTGAAATAATCGTCCAAAAGTTGTTGTAAAACAATTCGAATTTTTTCCAAAAAAACATTATGAGTAATCCAAAACAAATGGGTAGATGCTTATAACTTTATAGAGTATTTAATTTGTTATTCTTTCGCTAGTACGAATGATATTAATACTTTTAATCACTGTGATTACAGAGATTTATTAAAAGATTTCTGTTAGAAAATTCAGGTAATATGACAAATATATGTTTATATTATCAAAAAGATGTAGAAAAACACAGTGGTAAGACTATTGATTGGTTTCCTTGTACATCATTTTCCCGACGGATAGTAATTGATTGTAGTAGAATATTTGAGTTCTGTGATAATTGGTATTAAACAAATAATTTAACAGGTAATTAATATTTGAGCGAAAATTTATAACATAGCAAATCTAAAATATAAAATGTTAACAGATTCGCATTGAATCGCTTATCATTTGGATGTTAATGACTCTATCATATTTATTTGTTTCAACTATATCGCGACCTCGCTGCGTTATCTTTTTTACTTATTTGCTTTTAATGAAAAAAAGAAAATTTTAATTATAAAAATTTCAACACAGCCATGTTTCAGAGCTTTTCTTACATAAATGTTGATAGGTCGATAACAACCTTAAGACGAGCAATAATTGTGTTAAAAACATTTTAATACTTGGAGTGGGTGTGTAACGCGAGTTGGTGCCGTTCGTACAGAAATATATATTTATGATTCGTACTCTACCCGCGTTTCTACAGTGGGTTACTAAATAGCGCATAATGTCGCTAAATTATCATTATTCTTTTTATCTGTAGAAAAAAAACAAGAGTGAAAAAATTATATGTTACTTTGTCCCCTTTTACATTTGTATCCTTTAATTGAATGCCGGTCGAGTGTAAAGTTATTTTTTTCTTTATCTCTGCCCTAATCGTAACCCCTATAAAACTTAACATTTCTTCACGGAACAAGCCACATGGACATTTTACTAAACACATATATTTTCAGCAGTATTTTCTTTAAGCGAAAAAATAAAATAAAAATCAATACACCCGCCGAGGCCGATTCAAAAGGATGATACATAACATAGACGATTGTCAAAAACAAAACTTATATTTGTGTGACAAGTGCTCGTTTCAAAAGCAGTGCATAATCCAAAAAAGTCATAACAGTGTTTCTATAGCAACTCATTAGAAAAATACGAATATGATGTCCTCTAAAATTTTGAATAAACTTTTTCTCGAGACGAATTAAATTTGTAGCAAAAATATCGCACTAATCAGTATGTTAAAATTATTAGGATTTCTTTAAAGTATTTATACGAAATTCACTTGAGTATTTAACTCTGTGAGTTTTTTTTTTTTTAACTAAAAACTACAGTAAAATGTTGGTTAACATAAGAACATTTTTAAATTTTAAATCGCGCGTATGATCATTTTTTTCTTAATAAGTCTCACTCGGGTTTAAGAAAAAATGTGACTGTAAAAATTTACCTTTGAGGTTTTTCGACGCCGATTGTACTCCGTCTCGTGACCACGGAGGATCTCCATGTCCTGAAAAGTCTCTTAATTTCAGATACGATATGGTCAACCGTATGATCGACGCTTTGTCTAGTTGGGATGTGATGGCTGCCGGTAACGGTAACATTTTAGCCAGTTCGTAGAACTCATAATTCTCTTTACCTCGACGTGACCTTGCGGCATCTCGACTTTTCTCTTTTCTCAACTCGAGTATTCTGGAAATTGAAAAATAACCTCAGTGAATAATTTACAACAATTAACAATTTACTGAATAATTATATATACAAATGGTAAACACGTGTGTCTTGCGCATAACAACGTTGTTCCCCAAATAGGGATTGTCTTATATATTATGTCTTCGAAATTGAATGTCTAGGAATTGAGCGATTGTTTAGTATTTTTCGTGGCTTTTTAATACTGTTGAGTTTTAAATCTACGTTTTTAATTGCAAATAACACAAGCGATCAGTTCTTATTAATAACATTGTGCGCATTAATGGCGAACACACGATCGTACAAATACGAGAAAATAAAAGTTTATTGTTATTTTATTTTTCAAAGAAAAACTGCCATAGAAATGCACGACTCGTCTCTGGGGGTAGTTTTAATTAATTTTATTTCAATTGCTATACTGTGCACGGCCACGTAATACCGAGAAACCGGACACGACTTATAAGGACCCCGTACGTCGTCCAGACGGCAGTCGCATATCGCACACGCTGACTGCCTTATGGTAACTCGCTCATTTGTCATGGCTAAATCCTATTTACCGAAACGTACATGCAGACAACCGTTTTTTTATCTAATCAGTTCAAATTGAAATTCGACTACAAACGTCCATCATGGGAAATCGAGTATTATTTCCGACGGCACAACACAAGAAAAAAATGCAATTCCCATAAATAAACTGCAACGTTTCCGAAACGTTTACCGGCAAGTCGATGCAAATTATTCTTATTGCGTCCAGTTTCAAAAATACCATTGAATTCTTCGTTTTAATCCATCGTATCGTATGAATTGATTTTACTGATTTAATTTAATTAGTTTTTATCGAAAACGTTGAAACGGAATTTTCAATAACCTTAGATGTTTTTAACATACAAGAAACATCTCGATAGTATTCATAAAATAATTAAGTAGACAACGGATTATTCAATGAACGTATATAATATGAATTGTGCTGGACATTGCGTAGTCAGTATATAATTACAACAATAAAAACAAACTATCTTGTAAAATGTGTTCTTAATAGGCAACAAATGAAATTCAAGTCGGCGGCGGTCCTACGTATTTATAAGCATCGCGTTACCTGTCAGGTTATCCGCAGATCATCGAGTATAGACGACAATAGGTTTTATTTTTTTCCATTATCTGTGCCGCAGTAATACAACATCGCCTACCTTATTTACGGTTAGCACGGCCGTTTTCGGTATCACAAATCGCGTTAAATGGATTAAATTTTTTTCACCGATCGTATCATTTTCTCACTAACAAACTGGCTGGAAAAGCAATGTCGCAATGAATGTCGATATTTACCAAAGTGAAGTGTAGAAGAGAAAAAACCAGAATTGTCACATTATAAAGAAAAAAACAAAACGATTCACGTATGTGACAAAGACGTTAGGATTGTGAAAAAATGTTTTTAAATAATTGTATACAAGTTACAATCAGATGTTCTACTCGAGAATAATTTCAAACACAATAGTTTATATTCGTTAAAAACTGAAATATCATAATTTTTATGTACCGTAATAACACATGGATATATTTTAAGTCATTACGAGTAAATGGATTGAAATTAATCAAGCCACATCGTGTTTGTTTTTAACGGAGTAATACTATAAGAATACATACATGTATTTATCTATACATTCAGACCTTTGGATTTCCCAAGAGGGTGACTTGACCCTTCTCTCTACCGGCCGTTTCAATATCGTCGTCATACGCACCGAACGTCCAAACAATACACTCGTTTAATCAAAAGTATCTTTCGGGATAATAATAATAATAATAATATAGTCGCTTATTGGATCTGTCCCGTCATCAATTTTATTTTTACGCCGTAGCCGAATTGATCAGCACGAAATATATTAGCGGTCCGGAAATAAAGGTGATGTACCTTAATTCGGTAAACACCGCCTAAAATGTACTGTAATGGTAAATTTAGATAAGATATTGTAAAGTAAGATAAATATTGTAAATATATAACGTGCGACAGCATCGGATGGGATTTTATGTGTCGTTTTGTGGTGGCGGCGCTGGTGAGGTGTTGCCATGCATCGGAGGAATGATAAGAAGTAATATTTNGTGCATCGGAGGAATGATAACAAGTAATATTTGTAATTGGTTATGAATTTCTATAAGCACATTTCTTTCTTCTTCTCTCTAATATTAATTAAAAAGTAACAATGTGAATTAAGTGGAAATATGAATGGTCTATGTTTGAGAGAACAGTGAAAAAATGCGCACGAATACCAACTATATTCAAACTCCGAAACCGAAACGACAGAATTGAGGCCAGAAATTAAACTACTACTAATCATACGCAGCTCATTCGCATACTATATAGAGCATAAAAATGAATATGTTTATTATTTCATATAAATTTTGTTCTTGTCTAACACAAAAAACTACAATTTGCTTCTTATGTTAACAAATTGTAATCAAGCCAATATTTTTATATTTGTAAAATAAAACAAATACCATTTCAGTAGACAACGCATTTTGAACGGTCTGGACGATTTGATGCGTTTTCGAAAACCGTTGCCAGTTTAGCATTATGATTTTGACGCGGTCTCCAGTAAAATAATCGTAAATCGCTAATAGTTTTATTGAGACGATTCAAGGGATAATTCAATGCACCGCGTTGCCGTTCGTTATCGGACTCTACTGATAATTCTATTTCAAAGGGTCACGTTTTGGTCGGCAAAGTAAACGAAGTTACTTGCTTACACACACATCTCGAGGTGATTGACGGTGGAGGGAAAAAATGTTAGTGTATAGCGTATATTATTAGGGGTCGAGAACGCGTAAAAGAAAAAGCAAGAGAGGCGCAAAAAAGAACGAGAGGAAAGGAATTATCAATGACAACGGTTTTCCCCGTCACCACTTGTTCGCGGCGTTATTTTTCTTCTTTTACGAAGCAAATTGACCAAATTGCACGAACGGTGTGCGTCCCCGCGGGACCATCTTCTTGAGCGGGCGGCCGTGGCCACTCGGCACTTTCACCCCGCCCCGATCATCCGCACACACGTCTGTTATTAGGTTATATGAAGCGCGGTTCTTCTTTTCAAAAAGCATTTTCGCCTTTATGTATTATGAGTGAATTGTGCGGTACACGACCGACTGGAGTGTTGTAAATGGCGCGAGTATCGCATAATACAGTAGTATTGTATCACTCAAAGTGACCATATTCACCGCTTCTTGTGCTCTCCTACAATATCAACTGGTAACGTTTTGTGAAAAACTCGCTTCTTTTTTATTGAAAAGGAATACGCCGTTTTGGGAACACTTCCGAGAGAATTGACCTCTCAACAATACACTTTGAAAGTAAAAACGCGGCGAATTATATTATTTGTAACATTTAAACATTTGGTAATCAGTATTGTCCGAGTTTGTCCATTTTAGAATCAGATTTCCGATAAACATTGAAAATTGTATTTTAAAGTCAAATACTTTCTATGGCAAATTTTGTTATTATAGCCTTGCTTATAACGAGTACGTTCAATAAATACATATCACCTTATCGTGATCACCTTTATTTCTGAAGTGAAAATTTACTTTTAGTTGAAAATATAATAATTTTAAATGTTTAAAACACAGTGTTTCATATAAAGTATGTATAACATTTCGTTACGGTTTGCAATGTTATTGTTGTTTTTTTATTATTTCATAGACATTATTATTTTTTATACTTGTCGCTATTGTTTGAATGAAATATTTTCGAAGACACACCACGTTAATCCATGAACAGCTACTGGGTCTAGTCGCCTTTGACCCAAAGCCGCCTGATGATATTTTATTAAATAATAATACATCATTAATCTTTTTTATGAACAAAAATTAAACAGAGATTTAAGCGGTGAAACTAAAATTTGTATATATTGTACACTTGTTTTTATTTTAGCTCATTTATAAATGACTTTTGTTGTGTGACGCGAGGAGAGTGCATTTGTTTTTCCTGTCTGTATACAACACTTTTACGACGAGTGTCTAGTAGTTGTAAAAGAAAAATGTTCATTACTCAGAATTCATTGGAGACCTATGAAAACCAGTGACGTTTTCAGAAAATCGAAGATCCCTCGAGAAAGTAAGTTAAATAACTTTTTTACTGTCTTTTGCATCATCGAGAATAATAATAACTGAAAGGTCTCTCTGCAGTTTATGATTTTTACTGTTTCATCATCTAAAATCACTAAACCGTACTTACACATAATTAAATTGTAACACTAATCAACGGTTTAAGTCTGAATAGACAAAACAAAATAATAAACAAAAGAGTTCAAATGAAAAATGTTAAATAAATTTAAAAAAATTGTTAAGAAAATATTTTAATTTTTACGCGAGTATTAAATAAAAAATATAAATGGTAGCAATGTTAAAAAGGTTAATTTTTTAGAGATAGTACTGAACTTGTAGGATTTTTGGATGTTGTGTATAGGGTTTAAAGCCCTTGGGATGAATAAAACTTGAAAAGTGTTTCGACCTTGTTACTGTTTCTTTCCCTCGTTGAACCAAATGATTAGTGTGGTGCTCTATCACGTAAAATTATTCATTTTTTATGAAATGACAAACTTACAAGATTATATTTCTTGGTTTTTATTTATAGTTATCCTTCTTTATTAGTTATTTAATTCTTAAGATGTCGATGAAAATATTTATTTACTAAAATATTTCATGGTACATATTCATTTTCTCCAACTCTACCCAGTCAAACAATTAATACATTGTGTATATATCAAACGAAGGCTATGTCATTGATTGTTAGTGTTTAAACATAATTGATATTTTCACCAATGATATAACCCTTATAGAGGAAGGAAAAGATTCCTGAATAATTCAATTCCTATATTTTAATTTTGAAATAACGCTTAAATAATAAAAACACAATAAGGTATTTGACTTTTGTCATTATCCTTTTTTAAATATAATTTATCCACATAAATACAGTCATGAATTTTAATAAAAAATTCAATTAAGATAGACAAGAACACTGC